CCTTCTAATATACTTCCCGGTGATGGCACGGTTACCGAAACAAAATTTTCTGTCTCTCTTGACGCTTATGATGAACTTGCCAAGAGTAACAGCCTTAATTTTGCCTTTGACACTTATTGTCGAGTTCTTGCATCCAAATATGTAGATTGAATGATTTATTGCAGTTTCCTCAATCACGATGTTATTATCGTTTTCAAAGTTTTCCTAAAGAAAAACTTATTTGAAAATATTCATATTATCGTTATAAATAATAATAATAATAATAAAGATTCTAACTAGACTTACGATAATCCATTTATTATTGTCAAATTCCTTTTTAGGAGGTTTTTTAAGGGATAATGATGCAGGTTTTGGAGGAGCGGCGGGTCCCTTTTTTTGGGCTTGTTAAGAATCCAAAAAAAAAAAAAAAATACGTATGTATAGAAAATATAGTAATTATTTTAAAAGAACAATAGTACATGAAAAATTTGGTGACTATACCACCAGTAAAAGACACGGTACTACCAGCCCGTAAGTTAGGATTTTTGTGGGTCATTTGGCTTTTATCAACTTTTCTCAGGGCGGATGTGATATCCTCTCCACGATTAATTTCTTTAAATACAGCACTCATATCAGCTGGACCCTTATTGGTGGGAATATCATCAGCCAAAATTTGCGGAGGAGGTGGAGGTGGAGGTGGCGGCGGCACACCGGAAACACTAGATGGTGTTGGTACAGATGTTGATTTAGACCCAACAGGTTTTTTGCCTATGAATGTCTCTGGTTTGGCACCCTAATATAATGATGGTGTTTATTAAGTCGAATTTCAAATACGTGACTTTAACGAAAAGTCTGACAAACAAATAAAACCTTTGGATTCCAGACGAGTCCATGAGTATGAAATTTGGTAATATACTGATGAACTCCTGTCAGAAGAAGAATATAGCTGTTGGCCCAATCGACGTGAGAACGATCCCTACAAAGATATTTTAAGTAATACATCGAAAATACTTTTGATATAGTATATGAAGTACATAGAAGGCAAATTTTACATACTTGTCTTTGAACTCCATTATTACACGATTAGCATAGTATTGAGAACTTTCTATATATCCTTTAACCGTGGACAACAATTTTTCCTCCATTTCAGCAGTCTCTTCCAATGTGACCCAACCAAACACGCCAATACCTTCACTCACAGTTATTAAATGATTAAAGAAGGGTGAAATACGATTATTTTCTGTATATGCGCAAACTTTTTCAATAGCTTGTTGAGTTGGTCTTAATAACTCAACTAATGTTTCTGGAGTTTTTGGCTTTGTACTCTGCGTAGAAATGTGTATGAAGTCGCGTTGGGCTTTTAAAATATCTTCAACTGAATGACTCTGGTAAGTAACACATGAATATATGCTTTTAATACAAATTCTTATTGCAGCTTAGTATTAAAAATTTAAAAAAATTATACCTGATCTTGTACAATGCCACCAATACTTTTAGAAAGCTCAATAAAATTATTTAAAGGACCCTCAATGAGTTCATCATAAGCGTCAAGAGAGACAGAAAATTTTGTTTCGGTAACCGTGCCATCACCGGGAAGTATATTAGAAGG